CGTCTCCCCCTAATCTACCGCAGCTCAAATTAAGTTAACGGCGCATTTTTTATTATAATAAAACTCGGAAATTTTCGGCTGGCGCGGAATTTATTTTCCGGGAAAATAGGGAAATGCTGCTTAAGCCGTTAAGTGTGGGCGGTTTTCGGTACTTTTCATTCCGATTCCATATTCCTGTCGCTGGAAGTTACATGCGGAACACGCGTGACTCGAATATTTTATAATTTTTTTTTTTTTGCAGATAACCGAGGTCGCGAAAAGCGATTTTCCCACCCTCGACTCGTAAATATTCCATTGATAAAAACGATGCGGAAATGTAATTAGACCGTTTACACTAAAAATTTTGAGATTTTTTTGCTGTCAAATATTAGGGAATTAGTTGGGACTAATTGAAACAAATCAGGACGAACAAAGAACCAATTTAAAATTATTTAAAACCATTGGAAAAAGTTTAGAACAAATTCAGAACCAATTTAGAATTATTTATAGGACCGTTCAAAACAGTCAGGATGAACTTGGAACCAATGTACAAATGACTAGGACTATTTGAAGCAGATCAAGACGAACAAAGAACCAATTTAGAGTTATTTAAAACCATTGGAAAGAGTTTAGAACAAATTCAGAACCAATTTAGAATTATTTATAGGACCATTCAAAACAGTCAGGACGAACTTGGAACCAATGTACAAATGACTAGGACTATTTGAAGCAGATCAGGACGAACAAAGAACCAATTTGGAATTATTTAAAACCATTGGAAAGAGTTTAAAACGAACTCAGAACCAATTTAGAATTATTTAGGACCATTCAAAACAGTCAGAACGAACTTGGAACCAATGTACAATTGACTAGGACTATTTGAAGCAGATCAGGACGAACAAAGAACCAATTTATAATTATTTAAAACCATTGGAGGCAGTTCAGGAGAAACATAAAACCAATTTAGAATTGACTTAAAGTATATTTGAAACAGTTCAGCGCTAACTTATTATTTAACGAATTATTTATGCTTCTATTACTGTTGTCAAATATTAGTAATATTACAAAATTGACACATATATGATAACATATCATTTGTCACTTGTCATAGCGCCTCTTGTCACCTGTCAGGACTTATGTATTAGCGTTGTTTATCTACAGTTTCGTAAACTATACCGAATCCTTTTGCACTACTAGCTTTTTTTCGCAGGAATTATATCGAATATACCGAATATCACTGATATTCATACATCATTGCCGATTATCCTGCGCCCTTTCGAAACGCACCGCGGGGCAAAATGACAGTATTTTTTTCCTAAAATTAATCGCGCCCTGTAACAGCCCTTTATCGTAAAGCACGGCGCCATGTTTTTAATTCGAATCCGATATTCGGGCGGGGGCGTTAATTCAGATTTTATATACAATAAACTGGTAACGTTGTATTGAATTCGAAATGGATCCGAAAAGCAGGAACGCGAAGTCCTTAGAGGGACTCAAACTGCGTTAGTGCCACTATTATAAACTAGATTATCACCTCAACATCTGACGAGGGTCCTAATATCTTTCCCCGTATAATTAATGGCATATTGTATTATGTATACGTAAATCCAGGGTCGTATTCAATGATGAATTGTATGTATATACAATAAGGAGCTTTCGCTTGTACCACTATCATCATTAAAGATGATTATTATATTGTTTATTAATAGATCGGTACATTAAAAATTTCGTGTATTAAGCTGCATTAAATTGATAATTTAAGAGAAGAATTTAAAGAGGGATGTATACAACCCTTTGCGCGTAAAATATAAGTCCCGATGCGAGATTGGATATATTCGGGAGTTTTCTTTTGATCTTATTTACAATGTAAACGTTGGGAAATTTGAGCGTCGCTTCTGTTTAGTTTCATCCGCAATATTTCGCACCCTTAAGTAAAGTGCGTAATCCCGACGTCCCCTCGTATGTGTATTCGAAAAACAGGGGGTGGCTGTGTGGAAGCGGTTGTGCATCAGGGGGGGTAGACTTTTCCGATCGGTTTATGCACGATTCGCGATAAATTCGTGTAAACATCTGTAAAACTATTAGGAGAATGGCAAAACGAATTTTCGATGGGGATTTTCCCGATCGAAGCCAGTAGCGTACGTTGCGGCGGTTATATAATCAAAACCGCTCGAACCGACGACGTCATTATTATGTAAAACGTATTCCCGAATACCCTCTCTGAATTTGGGAAAAAATGCTCATCGAGGAAAACTTTTTACCGGCCCGTAATTGCCTGAAAATAAAGAACAGAAGAAAAGCAAAGAGCGAAACGTACTCAAACATGTTTGCGGAACGACGTGACGAAACCGGTTACAAGACTTGTATAATTACGTTATCCAGTGCCGGGTTGCTACATTTTTAACCAATTCACATTAGCTAAAATGCTAAAGAACTAAAGTGCATCTGACCATTGTAGTATCCCTTCATCAGAGCAGATATGTGTATAGATTTTTGTAAATTGTCTTGAATCTTTTATAACCATTTTTGAATGGACTAGGACTATTTGAAACCAGTTAAAAACCTTTTAAAACTGCCCAAGATAGATTCCAAAACAGATCTCCAATTGCTAACTAAAAGCCTCTACTAAACAATAATAAATTATCATTAAGTATAGTATAAGGACCTATCGCTCACTTTAAATTAGCCCTCTTTTTCTATTACAACCCTTCGCTTATATCGATAGTAAAAGAACGAGAATTCAAGGTCCCCCGCTCGATTATACATATAGATGAAAGGGAATTAATAAAAAATATATTAGCTCCACGTAGAGGCGACTGCAAAGTTCCATTTAAATATCTAATGCAGCATCGTCTGGCGCCATTCTAAACGATTTATTGACATACACAAATGGCTCGTTGAATAATTGACGAATAGAATGACGCGATTACCACCGCAACGATTCCGAGAAATCGCCATCCCTTAGCGTTAGGGGTTGCATTAGCGATGGGTCAAGTGAGCCGGGGAATGCACCTGATGTGCAATTACACCGGGTTTCTTCGATGATACTGACATGCAACTCGCTCGAAAATAGGTAAGTATATCGCACGAAAGTAAAAATACTTCCTGGAATTCGATCGGGGTTATTGAAAATGCTGGTCGAGTACGGCCGATTGTAATTAAATATTTTTAAATTCTATTAATAAGTTAGGTTGGTAGAATGTGAGAGGTAAGGTGAGAGCTAGGTAACGGATTAGCTACCTGCAAACTTGAATAATTTTATGAATTTTAGTCTTTCAAAACTATCAATTTTATATGGGACGAGTGTCCAAAAGTTCAAGAGAAAATTAAATGTTTGCAGTTGTTTTAAAAGACATGTTAATGCAGAGTAGATGAAAGTAAATTAGAGAGAAGAGAGTAGAGAGAAGACAGTAGCGATTAGAGCAGAGGAAGAGAGTAGAGGTTGAGAGTAAAAAGTGAAGAGTAGAGTTTAAAGAATGGAGAAGAGTAGAGGATTTCCTGCGTAGAATTGGTGTAGCATGCACTGTAATTTTCCAGACACCTTCATTTAAATTTATCGAACGTGTCAGCAATTTCCACCCCCGGAGCTTTATTAAATAAAATTTCAAATTTCCTTAAAAGCGAAAACGTCGCGGGAAAAACTCACCCCGGCTAATCTTCGTTTTTTTTTCTGAAAATTTCGACCCCGAAAAGTTTCCCGATTGTTTTTCGCGGTACCCGGTTAACTCGTGATTTAATTTCATTAAAACCGAAGGGGGACGCAATCTAATAAGGAGACCAGGACCTCGGTTTTTCGCCCTTCCGCACCACCCCCGCTGTTTGTCTATAACTAAGTCTTTGCCGAACTCGCGATTATGACGCCTTCGCAGGGCCGTATTCTGGTTAAAATCTGATAAATTTCCTCAAATTCTACACTATGTATGAATTAACGCTCTCTGCTCTCTGCTCCACTTTATTTAATTCAACTCTCTAAATTCTACTATCTACATACTCTCCTTCCACTACTCTCTACCTTCTACACTTCATACTACTCTCTAATTTTGATATGATTGAGTGAACTTTTCGTTTCCTCAGAGTAAGGTCCTGGATGTTATGACGAGGAGCCCTCTTTCTCGACTTAAAAATCTTCCCTAATTGCGTTAACGTCGAAAAATGAATTTTCCACAATGGGATGATTGAAGTAAGAAGCCATCGGCCTTTCGCTTTAGTCAGAAGCATCCCCTTCTCGCCCGGAAAATACGTTTTCATTTCGTCCAAGGAATTTATCATCGTAAAACCCTACTCGAAATTGTGTACATGTTAATTATGCTTGCAGTCCTTCGAGCTACTGTGTAAACGTCTATACAAACCAATAATAGATAGTGGAAAAAAAAATAAACAAACCGAGCGGGGGATGCAATCGGGTTCCATATGAAAGATTGGTCAGATCGATTCGGTGCAGAGGGCGCCCTCGGAGGGGCGAGACGCCGAAACTGAAGGGGAAGAAGAACAAATGTAATTTAGGATGAGAGGCCGTGGGATGTCAGTAACAGAAAATAAATCTTGAGATCAAGTTTTGGGCTTATTGTATGTATTATTCATAGGGGTTGATCACTAAGACCGTTCGAGCAGCGACGTATATTATATGGGGTTCGAAGCGGGAGATAAGCGGATGGTTTATTTATAGAAATTTAATTTATTTAAATGATTAAATTCCTGTTATCTGTTGTGCAGGCTTGTCGTCAGAAAAAAACGAAGTGAAGATTATATTTAACTTTGCGATCTGTAAAAAAAATTTGAAAATCTATTATTGATTAACTATTTTCAACCAACGCCACAAAGATTATAATTTGAATTACCTGCATTAAATTTATAATTTGATTATAATGATTGTATATTTGCACCATAAATTAGTATATTATTGAAACAATGAAATATCGCGACGAATTTAATTTCTAGTTATAATAGGTTTATCGTAAATAATATTTTATCAATTAAATAATTAATTATTATTTTCATTGTCCAGTTTACTTGTTATATTACGTTAATCAAAAATGTCTACGGTTCGATTCGTTAGCGCGCTGTTATTCATATCGGCTGCGTCTGTAAGTAAATATTATCCAGTAAAATACGTCGTGATAATAACGATGGTAGATTTTTACAATTTTAGTCGGTAGTCATTAAACAACGGGCCCGACAAATCATCGATACCTGCGCCGTATCGGCAGGAATTCCGATCGGAATCGGCCGCAGGAACCTGCTCGAGCCCCCTCGCACCCACGGAACCAAAAACTTCGTCCTGTGCATCGTCAGCTCCTTGAAGAAAATCAGCTACAACGGGTACAAATTGTACGGGAGCGTCCAGGAATGGACGAAAACCTTCGCCACTTACGCGAGGATCGTGTCCAAGTACATGGCTATTTGCGAGCCGACATTGAATTATCAATAAACTCATCCATGTGATTGTTAATTTTTTTGCTAGAGGTGCACAATATTCGCTAGAATCTATCTGCTTGTGACACCCTGCGAGGCCCCTTGAATAAAACGAATCGGCCGTTCGGGCTCTCCATCAAACACCTTCCGTCGGATTTAATTAATCGAAAGGTTGTAAATGACACCTGAAACAATACGACAAATTAGTCGATTGTCGACGTCAATTCGATACTCGCCCGTCGCGCTTAAAACCCTCCTCTATATAGACGAAAAATTACGCGAGCTGTATTCGACAGGTAAGTTATCGAGTTGTAAATAGAATGCAGTCCGGTTGAAATTTTTGGACATTTTTTTACGCCCTAGTATGGGGGTTGTACACCAAAATTTCACCTGTACACCAGAAATTTATTAAAAATTAATCAACCCATAAATTCTACTTACCCCATTTTTCAATCTATTTTTTCACCTCTTCACCACGTCTTCTCTTATTTACCTTTACATTATGCACATGTTATATTTGTTATATGACCGCATTTATCTAATTTCGAGCCAGAATATAACGATTATTATGACTCCTTTGTTTCGAAATAATATTGTTTTATGAAACATTCATAATGAACACGATTAGTGCGTAACTAATTTGATGCGAATGGTCCGGACGGGCGGCGTACCGCTCGTACTAGAAACGGCCGGTTATTTATCCCTATATACATGTATATGCAAAATATATATATATACTGGACCCGGCAGACCGAACAGTTAATTAGAAATTCACGTTTGATTGACGTTTGATTCGGAAACGCAAAGAATATTATGTGTATGTTGTAAAGTTCGGCTCGACGAGTTTGATGTTTAACATCATGCAAGAGCTGTCGGCGGCAGAAATGGACCTTTAAATGGCTAGAAATTAAAAGGTTTTTTTTTATTTGGTTAAATTGAAAGGTTTTATTTATATTAAAAGGAATCGAGTAATTTTTTTAAATATACGAAATCCTGAATAGATTCGTGTAAGGAACGATACGAGTTGCGCCATCTCACTACAAACCACTGAAACTTTTTAATACGGAAACAGTGAACATCACATCTAATTGGAATTCGATTCGTTTTGTTCTATTTTTGTTAATACAATCGTTGCTAATTCTTCAGGTTAATTAAACTGATCTTAAATTCCAATAGCACGACTAAATATATTGCGACAGTCGCGACGCTCTGAAATTCAAAGGCATTTTAAACCTAAAACCATCTTAATCGGTGTACTGGAATTTCACACCAATAGAGAAGAGTAGACAATAGAGAGCAGAGAGAGCAAAGAGAGAGGAATGTAGAGAGTAGAATATAAAAATTCAGGTAAATTCGATGCAGAGTTCCAGTGCACCCATCTCAACAGATACCAATAAAAAATTAATTAAAAAAAGCACCTTCTTACCGAAGCCATTAGTTCCTTATTGACATCGGTGAAGCCTTTTAAGGACACCGTCGGAGGATTCAGACGAAGCGCAGTCAGAAATAACTGTACCTACAACACAACAAATACTTAGGAAAGTTGCACCAATTACACTTTTGCAATACCTCTTTTCTAACATCAACTTCCACATCGTTGACTCTCACATTCAGTAGCGTCGTGCGAACTTTATCAACGATAATTTCCGATGCAGCGTGAGAACAATCGCAGAAAATGTACAGTAGTATGAAACAATATACTCCAGCGACCAGTAATCCGGTTTGTTTGAACGAAAACGTTATGCTGTTTTCCAATATGTCTGATGTGAATCCATATATCTACAGAAACACTATTTAAACCAGTCGCTAGATAACTGGAAGCTTAGGAAAACTCGAATAAAATGTTATTTGATTTATATCTCACCGAAACGGTAATATTGGTAATCATAAACAGTGAATAAGTCGAGTAAGTTCTTGCATACGCGTTCCCAATAGCCTGCAGGAGCTCGCTCAATTCCAACCACAACACCCTGTAATGTCTTATGATATAAGCGGAGCAATGGTCGTTAACGTCCTAAAAATACTTAAAAATATGACAAAAATAAACTGCTAGCTTTGTATTGTACATACTCGCTGGAAAATATCGGCCAAGCTCTCGCTGGCATTCTTGATGGCTCTGCAGTTGATGTACCAAAGAGCGCAATTCATGTTGATCATCGTGATGATGTGATAATAGGCGGTCGTGTGATAAAGCGTGAACCCTTCGAGCAAAGCGGATAGAGTCAGCAGGAAAATCACCGCCACAATCAGACACCCGGAGCTTAAGACGATGATCAACGTGCTGAGATGCGGAAAAACTAGATTTTTACCTACAAAACACCTATTCATTCAACACCCCGTATGATAAGGGATTATACCGGACCGGAGATTTTGTAATAATGCAACTGATAGAAGCCCCAGCCGTTTTTGTAATCGCACACCTCGGTGGCGACGCCCCAGCCGACGAAAGGTATCCAAAAGTGCGGCAGCAGGAATAGAATGAAGATGATGGAGTAGATGTACTCGTCGAATTTGTTGCTTTTGTTCAACAGCACATCGAACCTCTCGATGCCCACCAATACCACAATGATCGTGGTGATTGCGTAGAAAACGTAGGCGTAGATCATGGGCAGGCTCGACCAGCCGAAGGTGATTTTTCCGATTTTTCCACGTTGAACGGGCATCACGGCTAGAATCTGGAATTGTAGTGGAAATCGCAATCTCCTAGCTCTATTAGATGTGTTAAAATCTTACCCTGAATAGTGTTAATAGCAATTTGTGATCGCGATAGAACTGATCGTGCTCGTCTATGACATGTCCATCGCTCGAATCCAGTTTGGTCCTCTCGGCGATTTCTTCGGCTCGGGCGCTTCGGATCAGTTTCCTTACGTTTTTTACCTGGAACTCGTCGTTGTAGAAGGTTTCCACGTCTTGGATTTCCATTTTTCGTACTGTCCTTTGGAAAAATCCGCAGGCGAAATGCTTGGATTGGACCGGTGACAGCGGTTAAATAGTTACTTTCGAATCGAAGTGCATGAATTATGAAGAATTCCATGTGTGTGCACGTTCGATTTTTTTTTTGGTTTGAAGAAATGCATTAGAAGTTTAATTATAAGGTGTTAAGAAAAGTGTACTTTATGAGTTGTTTCATATTTTAAAACGATAAAAGCTCTTCTAATTTTTATTTCTACGTCGATAAAATTACAAACTTTACATGCCTCTCATATTCACTAAGCTGATCTTGAATTGAAGCAAAACAATTAAATAAATCGCTATAGTAGAAACGCTCTAAAACAAAAATGAAACTTCAAATAAATAAAAAATACATACTAAATTAATTTACCGAAGTTATCAATTTCCTATCGACGTCGGAGTATCCTCTGAGGGACACTACAGGCGGATTCAAACGAATCGCCGTCAAGAACAAATCAATCTAACAAGCAAATCATAAAAAAAATAAACTACGAAGTACCCGAAGCATCTTGTACTTACTTCTTTGGCTGTACTCATATCGATAGCTTTTAACTTAACATTCATCAGCGAGGTCTGGACTTTAATAGCAATATTATCAGTAGCTTGATGGGAACAATCGCAATACACATAAAGCAAAGTCATGCAATACATTGTTGCTACCATCAGACCCATTTCTTTGAACGAAAACGTTATACCATGTTCGATTATCTCCGATATGAATCCATAAGCCTAAACATAACTCAATTGTAAATAAACTGATTAAATTGAATAGAAATTTTACTCACTGCAACTGTGATATTAGTGATCATGAACAACGAATAAGTGGAGTAAGTTCTGGCGTAAGCGTTTCCGATCGCTTGCAACAATTCGCTCAATTCCAACCACAAGACTCTGTAATGCGCTATTATGTAGGCTGTACAGTAATTGTCGATGTCCTGAAAGAGATTTATTTACATCAAACCACGCGGGACTTTGCTATTTTTCGTATACCATCTGGAAATTATGGGCCAGCGCTTGACTGGCATTTCCGATCGCCCTGCAATTGATATACCACAATCCCGAATTCATGTTGAGCATTATGATAACGTGGTAGTAAGCTATGGTGTGGTAAAGGGTGAAACCATCGAGCAAGGCGCTCAAAGATAATAGAAATCCGACGGCCACAACTAAACAACCGACGCTAATTATTACGATTAGGGTGCTCAAAAATGGGAATTCCAAGTTCTTTCCTGAAACATTATCGGTTATACCAAACGCTATTACCAACCAAAAGAAGAGGATGGGAAAGAAAACAATGAGAATTTGGATATCTTAAACAATCCAAACCTGTAATTTTGTAATAATGCAGTTGAAACGTCCCCCAGGCGTTTTTGTAATCGCAAACTTCATAGGCGACGCCCCAGCCAACCCAGGGTATCCAAAAATGGGGCAGCAGAAACAATATAAAGATGATCGAGTAGATGTATTCGTCGAATTTCTTGCTCCTGTTCAATAAAATATCGACTCTTTCGTAACCGACGACCACCACCATGATGCTGGTGATCACGTAGAAACCGTAGGCGTAGATCATCGGGCCGCTCAACCAGCCGAAGGTTATTTTCCCGACCTTGCCCCGTTGAACAGGCATCACCCCCAGCACCTGGTACAAACGAAATGTATCCCTCTAGCTATCTAGGAAGATTAGGTATTCGCACGTACCCTGAACAACAGGAGCAACAGCTTGTGGTCCTTGTAGAACTGATCGTGCTCGTCGATGACGTTGCCATCGGATGAATCCAGTTTCTGTCTCTCGGCGATTTCCTGGGCTCTGGCGGAGCCCTGTCTGATCAGTCTCTTCAATTGGAGCTCGCCCCCGTACAATTCGGCCAAATCGTCCACTTGCATTTTGCTGCAGGAGCTACCGAACGTTCGGAGTGAACTATTTTTTTTTTAGATTTCACCGAATTGTTGGGCGCACGAAAAATTGGGACAACTGTGCTCGAAGTAGAATCACCAGGGGGGGTTTAAGGGAATTTAATAAGTACATTCGAACAGGCGAAACTCTGGCACCTTTTGTGATGTATATTAATAGGTGAGGGATGAGGAAGAGAGCAATGTTTTACATGGCCTAAAGATAGAGGATGAGAGAGCATAGATGAGGAGAGACGATATAGGAGGAGAGAGGATAGATGATGAGAGAGAATAGATGAGGCAGAGAGAATAGATGAGGAGAGAGAATAGATGAGCAGAGAGAACAGAGGAGAATGCTAATTGGGAATTAGGGAAATTTGTCTCTTGGGAGCCGATTTGGTTATGGCCTTTTTCGGGTCGGGTATTGGACCCTTTTTGGGGGCCAATTCGCCAAAAAAACTTGGAAATGGGGCCGGTGCGGTCCTGTTGGAATACAAATTCGGAACGGTCGAAGGTTGAAAAATTAATCGGATCGCATAAAGTCTCTAATTGAGAATCGATAGTTGATTGGTAGGTGTGAGTGACAAAAATTGATGTTTTCGAATGGGGCGCGATAATAATTAATTTCATTCGAGTGAATTCGCTCGATGCGATATTTAACTCGTTAGCGTCATTATTTAGTTCGTTTCGAAAGGATTTTGTTGAATAATTGTGAATTAATGGTTGGTTAATTAAAATACTTAACACTTTCGCTAATACAACGCCGGTGTTATTAATTGAGGAAAGTAGTAATAGGGATTGAATAAAACAAATTGTGTAAACATTTTACAAAATATATTTTTCTAACCTTTATGTATTAAATAAAACCATCACATATTTTTTGGTAAATAAGGCACATATTCATAAAACGTAAAGTATAAATCGACTATTGTTTTTTTTATGCAGGCTCATTTTACAAATTATACATAAATTCTAAATTACCTATCTGGTAATGTTTTCGAGCCGTAATTAAAATGTCATTTATCGATAAATAAAACACTATAATTATTCTTAATAATTGCAAATACAAATTATAAAAAAAACCCAATTAACAATATATTTGAGCACTGATTAATATAATTTGCTTGTAACTAAAACACTTAATTACAACGTACACTAAAACATAAGAACACATTTCCTCTGAGTGAAAAAAAAAATTAAAAAAAAAAATAGTAAAAAAATAACATATTATTCGTAACGACTATCAAAACACATTCCCCCTCACCGGTGCTGTCTGCTGTTCTTCACCTTAAAATTCAACGCCACGAAGGCCACCAGCCTCAGCACCACCGACAGGCCCACCAAAAATATCACAGCCAACGAATACGTCGAATACTCCATGTCCAAATCGCTCAGGAACCGCTTCGGGCTCGTATAGTGGCAATAATCTTCGATATCGCACGGCAACTTCTCCCTATCGTAGCCCAGCACCGACAGCAGCAGCCCTTCGAAGCCGTACTTCAGGAACGACACGTGGAAGATCCAACGGAACGCCGGATGGGACGAGTTCAATTGCACGAAGAATCCGGAGAAGATCGTGAACGGTAGAAAACAGAACGGACCGAAGATCACACCGCTCTGCAATTTTGTAACAGTTAATGATTAATGAAGGCAAGGGAAGGCAAGGGAAGGCAAGGGAAGGCAAGGGAAGGCAAGGGAAGGCAAGGGAAGGCAAGGGAAGGCAAGGGAAGGCAAGGGAAGGCAAGGGAAGGCAAGGGAAGGCAAGGGAAGGCAAGGGAAGGCAAGGGAAGGCAAGGGAAGGCAAGGGAAGGCAAGGGAAGGCAAGGGAAGGCAAGGGAAGGCAAGGGAAGGCAAGGGAAGGCAAGGGAAGGCAGGGGAAGGCAAGGGAAGGCAAGGGAAGGCAAGGGAAGGCAAGGGAAGGCAAGGGAAGGCAAGGGAAGGCAAGGGAAGGCAAGGGAAGGCAAGGGAAGGCAAGGGAAGGCAAGGGAAGGCAAGGGAAGGCAAGGGAAGGCTAGGGAAGAGAAAGCTAGATGGAAACTTACGTTCAAGCTCATCGTAGCCCCGATTAGAAGTCCGAAACTTTGCGATACGACGGCTATAAGCATGCACATCAGCAGGAATAAACCTATTCTGTAGCCTTCGATAGGCTGTTGGGTCATGAAATACGTTAGCAAACCGTAACACGTCGTAGCAGCCATCTGAAAATTAACCAAAAAACACAATAAAATAACATTAAATACGAAATTAATCGCTTACTTGTACAGGAATGTCCGCTATCGATATGGCCAAATAATAGGATTTCAACGAGTACCACTTATTGAAATGTTCTCTGGTTATAATAGGCAACTCGGAAGGAACTGCAACGAAATCGATAACCACCAAAATCGAATAAAAAAAAAACGCATACTCACAAGTAGTAAGTACGGAATTGAAGGCAGTCATCATTAGAAACATCTCGGAGAAGAACATGTAATTGGAATTGTTCGTCATGTTGGACGCGTCGACGCCTATCCCGAAATACAGGAAGCCTATGAAAAGGGCTATGGTAATGTGCGTGGCGAATCTGGATAAGGTCAACGTTCTATCCCTGGTGATGATCAGAAAGGTCCTTCTGATCAGAACGGTGAGCTGTGTGAGAAACGAAGCCGGATAGGAGCCTCGATAGTTGTGCATGTAAGAGTAATTGAAGCTTTTATCACAGATCGGGGTTCTCGAGAAGAATATCGGCGGCGCCCGAACCGGCGTCATTATCCCGGATTGCATCAATCTTCCTGCAAAACGCGTAAATAAATCCGCCCGCTTCGTAACAGTTGTTGCATCCTTACCGATATGCTCGAGAGATTCCATTTGCAAGGAGCTCCTCTGCGTCTTCCGCCATTCGGGGTTCATCCCGTTCTCCGATTTCTCCGCCAGGATGCCGGCGTAATCGCCGTACTCGCCGCTGGCCACTTCTAGCACTAATCACGGTCGTTATTTAATTTGCAATTTGCGAAATTACGCGAGAGACTTACGGTAATCGGCCGGGTTGTGATAGGTCGGGCACTTGAGATCGCATTGCTCCAAGTAGGGCAGGACGCCTTTGACGCTGCCTTGGTACAAGCACTTGGTGTTGCCGATGAGGTAGAGGTGGTCGAAAATTTCGAAAATCGGCGCGCTCGGCTGGTGTATCGAGCAGATGATCGTTTTGCCGGATATGGCCATTTGCTTCAGCAGCAACACGCATTGCTTCGAAGCCACGCTGTCCAAACCGCTGGAAATACCAAAGAACTCTTAAGAAACGATCTAAAGCTAGCAACAAAGACTCTCCAAAGAAATACAGGTGAGAAATGGCATTAAAACAGGAAGAGAATCACTTTCTGTTGAACTAGTTATGGACAAAAGATGAAGGAAAAGAATGCTCAATGGGATATCAGTCAATAAAAATTAAAAAATGTCATCAATGTCTTAAGAAATGTTCTAAAGCTAGTGAGTGACAAAGACTCTGACAAAGACTCTCAGAGAAATACAGGTGGAAAATGACATCAAACAGGAAGAGAATCACTTTCTGTTGAACTAGTTATAGACAAAAGATGAAGGCAAAGGATGCTCAATGGGATATCAGTCAATAAAAATTAAAAAATGTCATCAATCTCTTAAGAAACGTTCTAAAGCTAGTGACAAAGACTCTGACAAAGACTCTCAAAGAAATACAGGTGGGAAATGACATCAAAAACGAAGAGAATCACTTTCTGTTGAACTAGTTATGGACAAAAGATGAAGGAAAAGGATGCTCAATGGGATATCACTCAATAAAAATTACATCAGCATCACAAGAATGAGGTGCAAAGTAGAAGATGTGGTAAGAGAGCTGGGATCAGTATCTCAGGAATGAGGCATGCTCAAAGCTCAAAAACAGGACTTTGGTCTAAACAACGAGAAAGAAGTAGAAGGAAATGATATTTTTCAGTTGTAAATTTAAATTGTTTACCTGGTGGGTTCGTCGAAGAACATGATGTCGGGATTTTTGAGCAGCTCTAACGCTACGGATAGTCTTTTTTTCTCTCCTCCGGATAGGGCGCTCGTGCGGGTCTTGCGATGGTGCCACAAACCCATCGAATCCAGGATGTCTCTTATCTGGAAACAACGATTCCATTTTTTTTTAGTCGAAATTTCAACACCGTTACTTTTACTTTTATTAGTATCGTCATTATTTACACTTTGTTATCGACGGTTTGTTTCCTATTTTATCAGTGCCTATGCATCACTTCCTCGTATAATTCCTCGTTGTATACAATAGTGTAGGATTTCTGATAACGTAAAACTCTAACCTTGTAATGTGGTTAATGATTGTAAAATTTTCTTTACGTGCGATATTCTTGCTCGTCTCAAAATTCAGGTACAACGTATTTGAGATATTTGGTTGATGTTTTGTTATGCATCATATTTTAATTTTATTGTTTGTTCAAGTACATACTCCCGAGTACTTTGCGAACAAGTTAACTCGCTTTTTATCGCACTCACAACATAGATACAAGATATTAATTCAGATAATCGCGATTTTAATAAGACTTTAAAATAATAAAAATGCTCTGTGTAAGTCCGAAAGTCAAAACGTCGCGTCCTTCATAGCTTACTCGACAAAGGAAACATTTTTTTTTGGAATTTTTTACGCGATTAATGCGGTAGGTAACGAGTGGATTCGGCTTACCCGAGATTTTTTTTCCATTTGGGTGTATTTTGAGGTCATTTTTAGACTAGCAGCTATGCTCATGGCTTCGGAGACGGTGAGCAGCGGCTGCAGATCATCGTCCTGCATTATGTAGCAGGACCTCCTGCGAAATACGGCTTCGTTTCTTAACTGGTCGTTTACTAATTTGTCCCCTTCGACCCCCTTCGTCCTGTAAATTACATTTTTTTATAACTACTTGCAGTATATTTCATTGAATGATTCTAAACTATGTGCCATCGAAATTGTAGGGAGTGTTTTTTTGGTTTCCTGTTAGGAGATAAATAAACTGTAAATTTTGGAAAAATTATAAAAAATTTAAATCATTACAGAACAATTTTTTTGGTCAAATTAAACCCGCGAATCGGCTTGCGCAAAATACGTTACGAATTAGTAAACAGTTTCTTAACAGTTTTTATTATTTAATGGTACGTATTTTTTTCCAAATTAACCAACGTAAAATCTCTCGATCGAGTGCTGGTGCACTCAAAGTTCCTTTCATTGAACGCGTTGAACTATCCATGAGGACAGAGCGCGGCGTTGCCGTAACGGCGAGGAAATCGGAAAATTCGATGAATTTAGCGCGGTGGATTTTGGAAATTTGACTGAAATAGTCGCGAGAATTCCAGCGAGACGTACGTGTGATTAAATCACGTTTGTTTAGTGATAAAATACTTATAACTCGTTGTGTTCATCAACGTATTCGGTATTTGTTTTGAATGGTGCAATACAAATTACTATAGTATGAATGGTATAGGCAATGTCGCAACTCGGTGCATTTAAACTCGAAAAAAAACTGGTCTTTGGTCTTCTCGGTGGCGTCACGGTTGGGTTCTTCCGAAGCAACAGTAATTACGGTGTTTTTTTTGTTTGTAATTTGCCCACTGTTATTTATCTGTATTGGTAGAGCCGATGGTAATCGAGCGCTCGTCCATAACCTGCTACCCATTGACCCAATTTTACAATTAAATCTAAATACTTTATTTTATCGGTTCGAAATCCAACCGGAAAAACGTTCTATTTTGGGTATTCCGTTGGGTTATAATCAGTAAAAAATAAAAATGTATTAGGTGGAATAGTTTGTAATCAATTCGGTGATAGATAAAGCGTACAAAGTAATTTTAATTTTTTAACGATTAAATTAATTAATTGATAAAGCACGCTTTTTATGCTGAAATTGGGGGTATTAATATTTTTTTGGTAATTCGTTTTAAATTATCCGAGCGACCTTTTCGTAATTATACGGTTATTTGTTTTAAAGTGCTGATAAGGTAATATTAAACGCTGCTTTTTTTTTGTGATTTCGAATTTTAAATAGCCAATTTCACTCACGTGTATCCAGCCAAAATGTTCAGTAATATCGATTTTCCGGATCCGGAAGGTCCCATGATTGCAGTCAGTTCTCCGCCCGTAAAATCACCACTTATTCGATCTAATATCACACGATTTTCTATAATAAAAAAAATTATAAAAAAATATCTATTTTTGGAGTATTAGAAAAGTTTACATAATTTGGAAATATTTGGCATTAATTTATTTGGAATATTTCCACTATCCTTGATTGATCTGTTATCAAGGCCGGTGACAAATTTCTGGTTTTTTTTATCACATTTTTTCGCTAAATTTTACGTTCTAACGCAAAAATTTGTTATTTAAATTCATGATAATTATTTTTATTATTTGCATGTTAATCACCGAAATATTTCCATTAAGATTAATTAATTGGATTGTTAATTCACTTTTATATTATTCTTTTTTAAGCTTCCAGTTTGTGCTATTTTTATACTTTATTATACAATCACAAACATTTCCCCTAGTAATAGTAATAAGTAATAATAGCGCAAGTATTCTTTCTCTCAGTGTATGTAATTTACCTGTCCGATTGCGTGTCGTCGACTTCTTTCCCAGTGTACACGCAATCGGAAAACGAAAACAAAGAATCGTAAACGTGATGGGTACGCGTTCGAGTTTGAATGGCATTGACCGAACGCAGATATAGAAAATTCTTTGTGCAAATGAAAATCAGCTGGCGCATTTCGAGAGTAAATAGTAAATGCATCGAACATGTGTGAGCATCGACCAGGAAGCGTTTTTTACAGATATTGTTACTCAATCATCTGAACAGGTCAGGATCTGTTTAGAGCTCGGTTAACTCTGCATCTTATTTGAATATTAAATATTTAATTTAATTTCGTAATGCGGATGAAATCTTTGTAGAGTTCTGTTGCTTTTTCTTTAAAAATGTGTTATATTTGAGTATACTTTAGATAGAAAAACTTTATCCAATATTTCTATTTTTTTAAACAACACTAATATTTTGTAATTGTTATCACCTTGTGTTCAAAATGAAGTAAATCATCTATCGATACAAAGTTCAGTGGACTTTTTTAATATGTTTTTACCTGCGAAACGCTGCATATTATTTATAAAAAACTTATTTTGTTGATATAAAAAAGGTGATTAATAATTCGGATTTTTTTACGATGTTGTCCTGAAGTACATCGTTTCACAAAATATATTTGTTTAGTACAACTGTTGTGAAATGCACAGGTAAAGGTGATGCAAACAAATCTCCAAACAACGGCTTTTATCTGATGTTTTAATTTATTTAAAAGGCATATGCACAGACGTTTTATCATCCATAAACATTATTAAAAGCAGGTGTTATTTACTTTATATCAAAGGATTTGTTATACGTTTTAATCTTCTCCCTCGATTTTGTGATAACGATACAAAATAATTATCTTAATTAAAGGCGACTTTGTTACAATTCCAAGGTATTCTTCAGATTATAATAGTGTCGGAGTTGTCACGTTTGTAAACTGTTAATATTAGTGAATTAACTGCTCTATAGATAAGTGCAATATGATCAATTGTATAAGTTGAATCAATTGAATAAAGAAATATTATCTCGCAATATCACTCTTCTTTTTTCCTTATAGGAGACTAATGAAAGTCGTCTTTGTTGCACCCACAGCCTGCATTTCAAAGAATTTTCCATCTACCAGTACACCAATTTTTCAGGTAAGTTTTTTTCAATTTTTAAGTTGATAACAACCTTGATACAAGATTAATTATCTTTCATGCAATTATTAGTGAACTTTAGATACATTTTTTTATTAAACATTTCTACGCCCATTAGAGTCTCGATGAAGATTCGTTTTTGGTGCATCGGTCACGGCCACATTAAATTATTTACAAACGAATGATCTACCTACGCGATAGAACACGAATTTAAAAAAAACATTGATTGCTTTAATTGATTTACTACTAATAAAGGTATTTAAAGAAAACCAAAGTTCCTTCATCTATTTCATTGGACGTGCAATTAAATGTCGCATTATGTAACAAACAAACGTGCAATTAATAATGTACCAATTATACATAATTACTCGAATTATATTTTTACACCAAATTAAATTAAAGTGTGGAATAAAGGAAATAGTGAGATGTAGAGAGGGTGTTCGTTATAATGAATTTAATTTATGTTAAAAGCACAAAAAATATTCTATCAAGTTTGTTGTAAATTTTGCAAGAAACATGATGAATACAGTTGAAGAAATTTTTGAAGAATTTACTAACAATTTAATTCATGTTTACGACAATTATAATTATTGAATTTAACTTACCCTCGTTTTAAAGAAGTTCTTTCAACGAAAACTTGACCCCTCTTAAAACTATGGTGACCCCCTACTTTAAGGGTTTTTATTAGGGCCTCAAAAAAACTATTTTTATCACATTGTAGATTAAAATAGACAGAAAATGTAAATAAAAATAGACGAACAACGAGTGGAGTTGAAGTGGCATTGAATAAACACTAAATATACTCACTTTTCCTGAACACCCCTTCGGTAACATTATAACTAATATTCCTAAACCCGACGTTGACCAACTTGCTCGTCTCGTTCCCGTTGGCAAATCGATTGACAAACGTATTCTCCGGTATACTCAACAGCTCCAATTTGAGCGAATCCGGCCTCTTGTTGGCGCTCACCTTCAATTTCGGCTTGGAGAAGCCCGCCGGCCCGGCCTGGTCCATTCTGATCCGGTCTCCGGAATTTCAAATTGCCATGTAGTGGAGTCCCCTTTTTCGAATTCTATCGCACATTCGCGCGCGCTTCGCCTGGCTCGGCCCCAGCAAGTCCTGACCGGGCGCGACGCCCGTTCGATTCGAACTGAAGCGAAACCGAAACTGAACTTGTACGGACAAATAATACAACAAAAACAAGTAAACGCACGGTAAACTGAAAACGAAAGAGGTCTGTCGATGTCGAGTGGAGTTGTGTAGTAGCGGCGGGTCTGAGTCTTGTGGAGTACTGAAAAAAATTTGTACGAGTATACCCGGAGTTTGAGAATATACTAGGCGCGTTCCAGTCGTTATCGGGTATTTTTATAGGAGGAATTGTTATCAGTTTTTTTCGTGTGATTAGGCGTTTGGTGTGTTGTATTTTGCGTGTTATCTAAGGTTTTTTTTTTTGCTGGAAATTTAGTCGTTATTATAGAAATACGATAAGAGGTTGTAAGGATAAAATTGATTGCTAGGCCTATTGAAGAAATAATGAGAATGTATACGAAAAAAAATTGAGAAAATAAACGGTACGATAGGCGAGATGTTATCTCTATTCATATCGGTTACAATAAACGCCAAGCAGGACGTAAATTGTAGATTGTAGACGTTGCAGAACAAATCGAAAAATCACCAAACAACATCTCTCGGATCAAACCTATTTAATCGATCAATTAGAAGCGATTTATCGAACGTAATTCACGTCGGGCTGTTGGTAAAATGATTTTAATTGGTTCGTCGAACGTGTGTGTGTGTGTATGCGCTCCGGCATTATTCCGTTTTCCCGCCTACGGAGAGATCAAAAAAGTCAATCGTTCAATTTCGATCCCTGAGAAACGGACAGAGAAAGAGCGGTTTTTCTAATTTGAGCTTCGGGTATTCAACTAGCGGCAGAGAATAAGAATTTTAATTACTCCTATTTCATTTGTAGATTAAATTATACACTATATGAAATTTTTTAATAGTTTTAATAACATTGATTTAAATGGCTGATTACAGGCAATTAGTTATAATTTTGGTCTGAACAATATTTTGAAGTTATAAAATTGATAAATCTTAGTTTGAAGCAATCTTAATGATTCTGGATAGTTCTAAATCATTCTATACATTTCTAAATGGTTCTGGGCCATTATGATTCGTCCTGAAGCGATCTAAATGATTCTGAACAGTTTTAAATCATTCTAGACAAATCTAAATCGTTATGAACTGTTTTTGAATCATCCCGAAGTGTTCTAAATGGTTCAGGTCAATCCTAAATCATTCTAGACAGTTGTAAACAGTTCTAAATCGTCCTGAACTGTTTTGATGAATCGTCCTGAAGCGATCTAAATGGTTCTGGAGCGTTCTAAAGCATTCTGGACAGTTCTAAATCATTCTAAATCATTCTGAATCGTAAATTGTGTCACACGGTGCAAGCTAGATCAGATCGGGAAGGCCATTATTATATTATTCCAATTTTTAATTATTTTATAATGAATAAAATCGACATTTTTAAATTTATTTTTTCTCGACGCCATAAAGATAAACATCGCGGAAACCAAAACACTAATAGATTTTTTATGGTTACGTTTCGAATTGCTAATTATCATATTAAATTACCACACCTTGATGATTAATTTATAATTAGGGATATAAAATATATGAATATCTCACTATTTTGTAACATTTTTTTACATTTCACTCCACAAAATTCGCAAATATAAGAAAAAAACTAACTGGGTAAAACATTCATTAAAAACAAAACGAGTTTCGTAATCGAGACGTTTTAATAATTACAATAAAATCGTACATATTGAACACATTTCTTCAAACAATCAATCAATATCTTTGTAAAACATTAATTTACGTGTTAATTCATTTAATAATATAATTTTTAATTTAGGAATTTAACAGTAAAATCGTCTAATTTTTAGAAGGCAGGAATCTACTAATATTAGCCGGTTGAAATATTCGAAAACAATCACCGATCAATTCGAATATTCCTCGTCTATTTTCTAATTGAAAAATTACAATTAACGGTGAAAATTTCCTTTTTTTAAATACCATGTACACGATGTACTGCATATTAAATAAATAAATTAATTAAATAAATATTGGATTACGTAGAACAAGTCAAACAGCCACCATTCTAATTCGCTTTAGATTTATTTTATCGAGACCATTTCTTTCCTTAAAGAATAACTTTTCTTCTTAAAAATTAAAAATAACAATTTTTTTTCTCACATCGACTCCATCCAAGGACACATTGTATATTAAATAAATAAATAAATAAGTAAAATTAATAAATAAATAAATAAATAAATAAAACGTTGTACTATGCAGAACAAGTCAAACAGTCACCAATCTACTTCACTTCAAATTTAAACTTCATCGAGGCGATTTGGGGAGATTTCTCGGTACTTTTTTTCCTCGGTACCAGTACCGAACCTTTAAAGAAAACATAAACGAAACAAAAAAAAATCATCCTTATTGCACCCACGAAGCGGGTACCCACAATGGTTCCGTTTCCAATCGATTGGCGGCGCTCGAGAGCTGACTAAACGCCATCGCCAGGTCCGTATTAGTGATGGTCTCGTCGAAGAGATGCTCGTACAGGAATTCTATTCTACCCGCCGCTTTTATTATATCGTTGAACTCGTCGTCCTGAAAGAAATCGTCCTGAATCGTTCCAAATAATCCTGAACAATTCTAAATGATGATGAATGGTTCTAGACAGTTCTAAATCGTTCCGGAAGCGTTCCAAATAGTTCCGGACCATTCTAAACGGTTCCACGTGATTCTGAACAGTCCTGGAACGGTTCCAGACAGTTCTAAATCGTTCCGGAAGCGTTCCAAATAGTTCCGGAGCATTCTAAACGGTTCCACGTGATACTGAATAGTCCTGGAACGGTTCCAGACAGTTCTAAATCGTTCTAGAAGCGTTCCAAATAGTTTCGGAGCATTCTAAACGGTTCCACGTGATTCTGAACAGTCCTGAACGGTTCCAGACAGTTCTAAATCGTTCCGGAAGCGTTCCAAATAGTTCCGGAGCATTCTAAACGGTTCCACGTGATTCTGAACAGTCCTGAACGGTTCCAGACAGTTCTAAATCGTTCTAAACTCACCGTGAATCCTCTGGAATTGTGTATATCGAACGTGGATCTGGCATGGTGGGCGTTCCTCGTCTCTTTCAACGTCTCCAAATCGGGCGGTTTCACGTAGATCACGTACGGCTTCAATTCTGGGACTCTCAGCATCTTGAGGGCCTGATAGTGCGGATTTAAAATGCACACTTTGCCGGCGGCGACGATCGATTTGACGCTCTCGGCGGAGGTGCCGTACAAATTGCCCTTGTACTCGCCGTACTCGATGAATTTGCCGGCTTCGATGTCTTTCTCCATGTCGGGGCGTTCGACGAAGAAATATTCCTTGCCGTTTTCCTCGCCCGGTTTCATCGATCTCGTCGTGACTGTCGATTTGAATAGGCGAGGCGATTGATTTAATGAATGCTTTACAGTGGATTTAGAGTAGATTCGGAATAGATTGGCGGAAGATTCAGAACAGAGTAGATTCATAGAGTAGATTCAGAGCAGATTTAAGAGCAGATTAAGAGCATATTTGTAGCAGATTGACAGAAGATTCAGAACAGAGTAGATTCAAAGTTAAGTTAGAGTAAATTCATAGAAGATTAAGAACAAATTAAGAGTAGATTAAGAGCAGATTCGTAGCAAATTATCAGAAGATTCAGAACAGAGAAGATTCAGAGTTGATTAAGAGCAGATTTGTAGCTGATTGATAGAAGATTCAGAACAGAGTAGATTTAGAGTTAAATCAGAGTAGATTCATAGTAGATTTAGAGTAGATTAAGAGCAGATTCGCAGCAGATTGACAGAAAATTCAGAGCAGAGTAGATTAAGAGTAGATTCAGAGCATATTAAGAGCAAATTCGTAGCAGATTGACAGAAAATTCAGTACAGAATAGATTCAAAGTAGATTCATAGTACATTCAGAGGAGTTTAAGAGCAAATTAATAGCGAGATGTGGGGTAAGAGATGTGTGGCAGATTGACAGAAAATTCAGTACAGAGTAGATTCAGAGTAGATTCAAAGCAGATAAAAAGCAGATTATTAGCAGATTTGTAGCAGATTGACAGAAGATTCAGAGCAGAGTAGATTAAGAGTAGATTCAGAGCAGATTAAGAGCAGATTCGTAGCAGATTGACAGAAAATTCAGTACAAAGTAGATTCATAGTTGATTCAGAGTAGATTCAGAGCAGATAAAGAGCAAATTCGTAGTAGATTGACAGAAAATTCAGAGTAAAGTCAGTGTAGATTCACAGTAGATTCATAACAAACAAATTAATTATACTCACAAGGCGTCGGAGTTCTGTATTTCCCCGGATCGGTATCGATCAATCTCCTCTTCAACTCGTTCCTGCCGACTCCCGGCGGTCCCACCAGCACGATGGGCCTAAAGACGCCCGGTCTCGGATACAATTTCGCCACCTCCTCGTAGGTGGGGATCTGCTCGCGATCGAAATCCTCGTTCTCGGCTATGTCGTAGATGATCTTTTTCGTTTTCGGCGATTTCGGGCGACACGTCACGCCCGGCAGGGCGGTCGACGAGCACAGACCTAAATACATAAATGTCTAGAGAAGCCTAAAAGAAGCCTGAAAAATTTCAGGTAGAAAAGATTGTTTTGAGAGTAGAAGAGAGCAGAGTAGTGTAGTGTAGAGAGGCAAGAAAGTCGAACAATGTGGAGTAGATTAGAAGAGAGTAGAATAGTGTAGTGTAGAAGAGAGCAGAGTAGTGTAGTGTAGAGAGGCAAAAGAGTAGAGGAGTGTGGAGTAGATTACAAGAGAGTAGAATAGTGTAGTGTAGAAGAGAGCAGAGTAGTGTAGTGTAGAGAGGCAAGAGAGTAGAGCAATGTGGAATAGATTCGAAGAGAGCAGAATAGTGTAGTGTAGAAGAGAGCAGAGTAGTGTAGTGTAGTGAAGAGAGATAATAGAGTAGAGCAGTGTGGAGTAGATTAGAAGAGAGTAGAATAGTGTAATGTAGAAGAGAGCAGAGTAGTGTAGTGTAGAGAGGCAAGAGAGTCGAGGAGTGTGGAGTAGATTAGAAGAGAGTAGAATAGTGTAGTGTAGAAGAGAGCAGAGTAGTGTAGTTAAGTGTAGTGAGGCAAAAGAGTAGAGCAGTGTGGAGTAGATTAGAAGAGAGTAGTGCATCAAAAGCAAACAAACCAAAATAAATCGAATAATAATTCATACCGTCTTCGTTTTTGTCCGTTTGAGTTCTATCGTGGATAATCCTTCTTTCTTGTAACGCCCTGCTCGGTATGAGACCAGCCCGCATATTTCTATCGCCTTCTCTCCTAGCTTGCCACCTTTAAAAAAAAAACAACGCATTAATCGGTATTTTATTTACTATATTAATCGTTAGTAAAACGCACCAATAGGCATCGTCTTGGGACACGATGTGCAACACGTCGCCTTTCTTGAAATCCAAACCGGCCTCTTTGCACGGTATGTACGGATCGATCGAGGAATCGTAGTCGAAATGCGCCCTCACGCGAACTTTGCTCTCTCTGGGCCCCCCTTTACCGTCCGCCGGTATCAGCTTGAACGTTATCGTACCTTCGGAATTTTGCTGCGATAAAAAAAAATCATTGATTTTAGTTCGTAAACGATTAATTGCTTCTTTATAGTAGGATAGGATAGGGTGGGGTAGAGTAGAACGGTGCAGGATGGTGTAGGATAGTGTATAGGATGATGCAGATAAGTGTAGAATAGCTGAGGATAGTGTAGAGTAGTTTAGAATAGTTTAGAAAAGTGTAGGATAGTGTACAGTAGTGTAGCATAGTTTAGGATAGTGTAGAATAGTTTAGAGTACTGTAGGATAGTGTTGAGTAGTTTAGACTAGTGTAGGATAGTGTAGAGTGTAGAATAGTGTAGAGTAGAATATTTTAGTATAGAGTACTAGGAAAGTGTAAAGTAATGTAGACTATTGTTGGATAGTGTAAGATAATGTAGGATGGTGTAGAATAGTGTGAGATTAAGAGCAGATTCGTAGCAGATTGACAGAAAATTCAGTATAGAGTAGATTCAGAGAAGATTCATAGTAGATTCAGAGCAGATTAAGAGCAGAATAAGAGCAGATGTGTGGCAGATTGACAGAAGATTCAGAGCAGAGTAGATTAAGAGTAGATTCAGAGCAGATTAAGAGCAAATTCGTAGTAGATTGACAAAAGATTCAGCATACAGTAGATTCAGAGCAGATTAAGAGCAGAATAGTTCAGAATAGTGTAGAGTAATGTAGACTAGTGTAAGATAATGTAGAATGATGTAGAACAGTGTGGATTTGCTAATTTAGCATGAAAATTGTACGCGATTTTATCAAAACATAAAAGTGCATAAAATTATGGATATTTGGTTTCGAGAAATGGCCTTCGACTGACCGGAAAAACGGGTTACAATTTCTCGTTTAAACAAACGGATTTATTTACCAAAATTTGCAGCACGTCGTTGGGCGTTTTTCCCTCCACGTTGATGTTATTGACTTCGACTACCTCGTCACCGGAATGGATTAATCCGGATCGATCTGCGGCTCCTCCGTGCATCACTCGAGCTATCACTATCTTACCGGTGGCTTCGTCAGTTTTTATCGTAGCCCCCTGTATATAACGATGAAAGTTATTTCAACGAAATGCATTAGAGTATATACAGTAGTTATGATAATTGATAGAAGATGAAGATGAGTGCAAATAGGGTACCGAAAAAGGCAAAATAAATACACTACCCGGCAAAAAAAATTGTCGAAGAATGTATTTTCAAAATTGGTCTTTTTTGCCGTTGAGTGTATTTGATGAAATTCGGGTTGTTTTTTTTTTTAAATACTTACAACAATCGGTTCGGCGTTTTGTGCCCCGGCCTTTGCGTGACGACACAAAAAAAACATAAAATTTTCAAATACAAAACCTCAAGTTTCAATTTATTCGTTTCATTTCAATTCAGTTAAAGTTTACGTTTATATCGCATCTACCAATTAACCTCTTATATCGTACAAAATAATCGCCATCGAATTAAATTTGTAACCGTTATCGATTAACTGCTAAAAGGGTTATTTTTACTTACCAACGGTTCGTTACTTTTCACCAATTGCACGATTTTCACCGTCTCCTCTTCCTCCTCCTCGTTGTCTCGAGGTATTTCGGGCAAGTGCGGATAATAGTCCTTTTGGGCTACGGAATCGTGAGAGTACAACAAACCCTGCAAAGAAAACAAATCCCTCGATACATTCTAATATACAGGGTGTTAGTTAATTGAGTGCCGATACTATAGGATGTGAGTATTTGGATGATTTTAAGAAGAAATGTTTATATTAATGTATGTCCTAAACCTCTTAGTTTTCGAGTTACAGGGTGTTACAATTAAAAAATTTTATAAAAAAAATAACTTTTATCATAATTTTCTTATTACTTCAGATATTTTTGTGAAATTTCGAACGTGGACGTTACTGGTAATGGTGGAAAATTAATTTTTGTCCCAAAAAAAAAGTATTTTCATGAATGGTAGGCGCCTACCAAATTTCAACAAAATATCTAAAGCATTCTCAATAAACTTGGAAAAAAACTGTTTTGGTTTTAATTTTTTTAAGCGAAAATGGTGCGTCCGCGAACCAAATTCTTCGGACTGAATTTGCTCCAAAATAAATAAGGATTTTAAAAATATTTCGGTTTTTAAAAAAAGCAGTGGCGTACCATTTTTTCTTCAAACATATTCGATTCAAACCATGTACGAACATCACTGGTAAAAATTTTAAAAAATCTTTCGCCTCAAAAAATGATCCCTAACAATTAAAAAGTGTCTACAAAATTTCATAAAAACATCAGGAATAATAAGAAAATTATAAGAGAAAAGTTATTTTTCTTCTAAAATTGTAACACCCTGTATAGCTCGAAAACTAAGACGTTTAACACATACATTTATATAATCTTTTCTTCTCAAAACCATCCAATTATTCACATCCTGAAGCATCGGCACTCAATTAATGAACACCCTGTATAATTAAGGGGTATTTGGGCACCTGCAAATGGGGTTTTTGCAGCAAATAGAACAGCTCCTCGCAGTCTGGAGAAGCGTACGGCACCCGCACCAAATCCTCGAGCACGTCCGAGAGGATTTCCATCGACGTGGAGAGCATCGGGTAGAATTTATCGCTGGCTCCATTGGTGATTATTTTATTGTGTACGTTGACCAGGGCGTGCAGTTCTTTGGATTGCAGCAAATTGCTCAAGAAGCGCAATTCCTCATCGGTGGAAGGCGAATTCGAGGATTGTTGTAGCGACGAAAGCAGGCGAGTCAGTGCTGGATGATAAATTACGTTTACAATTGTTATATTTACAAGGGTAAGGTGGAAAGTTCTCGGCCTGACAACGAAGGAACGCGATTTTCAGGTGAACAGTTACATTGTTAGGCTTATTAAATCGAAATGTTTAGTTCTAGACGGTTCAAAATGGTTTTAAAGCGTTCTAAACAGATCTAATTAATTCTGGCGCGCTCTAAATGATACATTGTTCTGCTTATTAAATCGAAATCTTTAGTTCTAGACGGTTCTTAATGATTCTGGAGCGTTCTAAACAGTTCTAATTGAATCTGGAGGGTTTTAATTAGTTCAAATTGAATCGGAAGAGTTATAAATGACTATATGGAACGTTTTAAATGGTTCTAAAGCGTTCTAAATGGTCCTAGACAGTTCTAAACGATTCTGGAGCGTTCTAATTGTTCTAACCAGTTCCAAATAATTCAGGTCGAAAACTTTTCACCCTACCATCGTATACAGTTTTTAGTTTGTTACCTGGATCCCATTTCTCTTTAGTGACATTTGCCATTACCTTCGGTGGTCACTCTGCAAATTATTTAATTACGTTTAAAATTAGAGTCTTAATTAAAGTCTATTTATAGCTTGATGTCGGGTGAATGGACTTAAACATAGGCCATTTTCGAATTTAATTTACTCAGTCGAATTATTCGGTTCATTTAATCGTGGATATTAAATAACGATTATTTGAATACTTGTAATTTTAAATATAGATGATCAAAACGAATTATAGAATTATTGATTTTTAAATATGTAGCTCGAATGACAATGGGCTTACCTTTTACGATTATCCTCCGCGCTTCTGTGTTAAAATCTTCAATCATCACTGTAAGGCATTTGGTTGAATTAATTATTTAAATTACAATCGTGAAATTTCCGATAAACAAACTTTGTTGCAGCAAAATTTTAAATAAGGTTAAACGTCAATTATTAGACATTGACGTTTCTGACAATTTTCTATTAATAAAAAAAGAAGAATTACTTAACCTCTAAAAGTAATAAACGTCAAACTGGAATAAAATTTGTTATGATGACTTGATTTTCTTGTTTTTGTTTGTTTTAAATTTAAATTAATCTTATCAATTTGAGTATGTTGTAATTAATTTCGTAAAGAAATAGTTATGGTTTCGAAAATTCATTAACATACGCGCTTAGTTTCACCTTAAAACACAAAATGTCTCTGAAATTATTAAGACCAATAAATGTTTTCAAACGTATCCTTTTTTTTGTAACAAATACGAACACTTAATTACGTTATTTTTCTTAATAGAGTATATTATACAGGACAACTATCGCAAAAGCCTGCGAGTTTTGGTAAATATTTTATACTCGAGCGTATTAATTCGACTAAACTTACCAAATTTTCAGCTAGCTTCGATTGGCAGGACCCGCTGAATTTAGAATCGCTTTTAACGGACGAAGAAAAGCTAGTCAGAGATCAATTCAGGTCGTATTGCCAGGAAAAGTTAATGCCCCGGGTAATCGAAGCTAATAGAAACGAAGGTGAATCAAACGGAACATTATAAAAGACACCATCGTAAACATCATAATAGTATTTCACAGGGAAATAATGCGCGAAATAGGCGAGCTAGGCGTCCTAGGATGCACTTTAAAAGGATACGGATGCGCCGGAGTGTCCAACGTAGCCTATGGACTCTTAACGAGGGAAGTAGAACGAGTCGATAGTGCGTACAGATCGGCTGTTAGCGTTCAATCTTCACTAGTTATGGGGGCTATATATAATTACGGAAACGAAGAGCAGAAACAAAAATATTTACCGTTGTTAGGTAATTATTTATACACATATGGCCCCTATTCAGCGCCCCAAGCGTCTCCAACTTGACAGTTTTACATTGTTGTTATGGAGTAACTAAGGAGATTATTTTCATTTGACAGATTTACATTGTTGTTATGGAGTAACTAAGATTATTTCAAATTGACAGTTTTACATTGTTGTTATGGAGTAACTAAGGACTTTGTTGACGTTTGGAGCCATGTTTAAGTTTAAAGGGGCGCTAAATACAAGGCATTTAATATACTCTTGCGAAGGGTTAAATTCTTTTTAAAAGCCACTTTACAAGATAACATTAACGTGTAATATTATCTTAGCAAAAGGTGAATACATCGGTTGTTTTGGCTTGACCGAACCAAACCATGGTAGCGATATCGGTTCGATGGAAACCAAAGCCAAGTACGACCCTTCCACCAAAACCTACACTCTAAATGGCAGTAAAACATGGTAAATTGAATCGAATCTCACCTCTCAAGTTCCCATTTTAATCGTTTATTTTCAAGGATTACAAACTCACCCATATCGGATATATTCATAGTGTGGGCCCGATGCGACGATGCGAAAGTACGAGGCTTCATAATCAACAAACACGAATTCGGCGAAGGATTAGAAGCGCCCAAAATCGAAGGGAAATTCTCCCTGCGGGCCTCCACTACAGGTAGCTACACAGCCAATTTTCTCGCTACCCTAAAACTGTACGTGTACTTTAAACAGGAATGATCCTCATGGATAACGTGCGAGTACCCGAAGACCACCTTCTACCGAACGCCGTCGGAATGAGCGGCCCCTTCGGGTGCTTGAACAACGCGCGATACGGAATCGCCTGGGGCGCCCTCGGAGCGGCCGAAAGCTGCCTGCAATTGGCCAGAAACTACACGATGGAGAGGAAACAATTTAATAAACCCCTAGCTGCCAACCAACTCGTACAAAAGAAACTAGTTGATATGATGACCGACATTTCTTTGGGCCTTATGGGTTGCTATCAAGTCGGCCGGTTGAAGGACAAAGATATGTAAGTTAAGCGATGAATGCGATAATGAGAACATTTTCTAAGAGTAGAGACCATTTTCTAAGAGTAGAGAACATTATCTAAGAATAGAGATCATTTTCAAAGAGTAGAGACAATTTTCTAAGAGTAGACAACATCATCTAAGAGTAGAGAACTTATTCTAAGGACAAAATTAAAATTTAGAAATGTAGAAATGTTTTGGATCGTTTCTAAATGATTCTAGACAGTTCTAAACTACCCTATGTTATCCTAGAGAGTTGTAAACGGTTCGTTATGAAAATATATCCATGTTTCCAGGCATTCTCCTCAAATGATATCGCTGTTGAAAAGAAACAACGCTGGGAAAGCCCTGGAAATAGCCAGAGTAGCGAGAGATATGCTGGGAGGTAATGGAATATCTGATGAATATCACGTTATAAGACACGTCATGAATCTGGAAGCTGTAAATACGTACGAAGGTATGCATAACAAACATTTTTAATAAAATTAAATACAAGTGTACTATTTTATAATATTCTTAGGTACACACGATGTTCATGCTTTGATCTTGGGACGTGCTATCACCGGAATCGCGGCCTTCTGATAATTTTTTACAGCCAGCTTTCGTGGATGTAACAGACCTTCTAAACATCTTATTTTTGTTAAACGTTTATTTACCTTACACCTTTCTTCATTATCCCGTGCACTTCAATCCGATTCACTCGTTGAACTGTAATCACCCACCAACGAAGGCCTTTTAACGTTTCCATCGTCCTCTTTAACGGCGTTCTCTGGACATTTTCGTTTTATACCCAAGTCTCTTTTGCTCTGATTTAATATTCTAATAGCTTTAGCTTCTTTGGTTCTCGTGAAATTGCTACTCGGCAGAGACGATTGCGAGATAATTTCCTTCCGTACGTTATCGGTGGTTTCGGAAATGCTTCTGGAAGGTTTGAGCTTCATGCTGAGCAAACCGGCTATGTGTTTGTCCTCTTCCCGTTCGGCCAACAGCGGAATATCCAGACTGGATTTTTTGAGCAACAAACTATCCTCGGACGCTTTGCGTTTTAGATCGTAATTCGTTTTCTAAAAACAGGAAAATTATTACAAAATTTGCGATGTTAATACGACTCTATTTTTACCCTAAATTGCGCTCGGAGCACTTGATTAGCGGTGTACGAATCCGCCCAAACGTCTTCGTTTCGATTGAACAATTTAACCAATCCGGGTTTCGCGCTATCCGCAGTATTTTTATCTTCGCTGCCGTGCTCCAATTTGTACATGGAATCGTCGAACAAACGTTTCTGGGTTTCTTTAGTTTCTGGAACGACTTGACCATTGGTCGTTGGATCCCACCGGTTCTCCTGTCTCCTCGCTCCGGATAGTATCACGTAATCCAGATTCTAGTAAAACGATTAATATTAATGTACGATTCTAACGAAGGATATCGCGATGTACTCACCCCTGGATCGGCCTTGATCACGAAATGGTTATCGCACAAGTGGCATTTCATTTTGAATTGGTAAACGGGCGTGGTGTAATACATGCCCACTTTGGTCTTCTCCGCGTTGTACCGGACGCCCATTCCGATGTGGTTTTTGCAGCCCTCGCACCAAATGTTGTAGGGCATCTCGAATCGGATGATGATGATGCCCTTGTCGATTTTCCTGGCCCTTTCTCGGAGGGCGTGAGTGCCCAGGAATTTGTTCAGCCCCCCGACTCTCGGGTCGTAGTCGGGTGGGTAGTATTTGTTGACACCTTTTCGTTCGCCCATTGTCGGTTAAATGGAAATTCTTAGTGGATTTTCGTTAATAAACAAGCAGCGGGTGAATACGTTTCGAATTGGTAAGTGTTTCTAACAAATTGTAGTTATTATGACAACATAACATAACCTCAAACTATGTGATCTTCTGACTGACATTAATGACAGCAGTGACAGTGACGTTTGATCAATGCAAAAAAATTATTAATTATATTTAACTTATTATTTAATATTTGCGAGCAATTAGTTTTTAATTAAACGATATTATTCCAAACAAGAATAATAATGATAGAAATTTCGTGCCAATTTCGCAAATTTCACTCTAAACAAAATTCTACCTTAAGAAAAAGAAGAATTTCATTAATAAAAAATAAGCTCCACCCCTAAATTAGAAAAAAGAAGAAACGTATAGTTTTGCAAACTTCAATCAATGGAAAAAGGAATTCCATTAAAGACACAAAAAAAAATTTACTACGTTATAGTAAACAATAATATGTAGTATAATTTAAAAGTATTGCACTGGAATTATAATAAAAAATAAAAGCATTTGTATCCATCATATCGATTCGAATCTACGCGGAAACCATTTACATAACTCTTAATAAATCAACTTAGGAAATATTTTGCAATTGGTTAATTAACGTATACGATCACATATGCAGGTGAATCCAATTTAACTATCATCTTTCGCGTCGGAAACTTTCATTAAGGCGCATAAAAATATTTTCACGTGTAGGTAAATAAGAAAAAAAAATACCACCGATCGACATGTGGATGAAATGTCTCGACTTTTCCGCGCTCACCAATAAGGATAAGAGCCGTTTTGCGAAAGAATGTTACAGATCCTTTCTAATAAATTATACCACGACAGCGTTATGTTATACAGTGCTTTTCAAGGAAACCGTCCATTAGAAGTTCCTAAAGAGTCAGAAATCTTAGGAGTTAAAGGATGATCAAAATGTTGTGAGTTTTTCTAAAATATTTTCAACCATATGAGATTTCCGGTTATACCGGAAGTAAATGACTTCGTTATTTCAAATGGATTAAAATTCAAAAGCAGTGTATAGTCGAGTAATTGTACTTACATGAAAATTTGCGAACTATTGTAAAAAAATAAAATAATTATAATGGGCTATTTATTATGACAGATGTGCTTTAGTAGAGTACCCACGTACTTTTTTGCAAATTTAAAGTAATCCTCTTTTTCATCATACTTGATTCAATTTAATATACATAAATTATTACCAGAGTGCTATTTGTTGATAAAAAAAATTGTTCATGACCCGTTACTCTTTTGTATACATGAAATTTCCAGTGCTACATCAGCAATAGATGCACCTGCGTTATGCAATTGGACGTAATTAGAGTAAATAGTGAATAATCTCAAGGATTTTAGCGAACGATTATGCAGAAATTCTATTCATAAAGAACATAAAAATGTATTGTAAAAGTCTATAAAGTAAGAATGTAAGTTGTTGTTAGATAAAAAAATAATTAGAAATACATTGCCCTACGTTCCTAACAAATCAAGGACGAAATTTCAGGACTATAAATCGAATAGATATTAATTCGATTTCAATTTCGCGGTACGTACGCCCGTTAAACAATCGAAATAAATTGCGCGAAAGAGAAAATAAAATTACACACATTTACGTTTCGGTTTGAGCGTTTTGCAAGTCGATTCGACGATGCGATAATAAGCGCATTATTGCATTGAGTAAATGTTTGTGCGTAATTGCAAATTAAAAACTAACCATTTCTCGATCACGTCTATTTGTTTTTAATTAGTTTAATTGTTAGATCTACATCTTTTTTCTATTACTTTTCATTTTTTCCACCCCGTTATTTAAATTCATTGATTAATGGAATTACATAATTCGTTGGAAAACGAATAATTCTCATGTTTTAATCCGCGTTCTTCCTGATTGGTTATTTTAGCGTTTTTTATCCAATAAAACATTAATAACTGATTAAAAAGTTGTTAATCTCTAACTCCTCTGTAGGTATTACATAAATGAATATGTTAGTGTTAATAAGGTTAGAGATGAAACCACATTTCCTGATGTTGAAATCAATTTATCTCAATTAATCGCGATTTCTATACGCGTAAAGTATTGTAATTTTTTCTAACGAATAACAAGACTATCTGTGAGGAAATAAAATTATCTAGTTCACAACATTTTTTTACCTACCTATTACATCAATTTTATGAAGCATTGTTCTGCCCATTTGCTCGATTAAGACGGATCAATATGGAAATGATATGTAAAAGGAAAATTGTTTCTAACACAATTTCAACATTGTTTTATAAATTATTAAAATACAATCGATTTTATTACCAACCTACACAATTCAATGCTTTCAACGCATTTCGAAAGAGTACCACCCTGTATTGGAGTGCCTTAAAAATATATCAATAACCCGATTCAATTTGCATTATTTGTAGTATAAAAAATAGCACGCAGCAGGTGTTATGTTAGGAAATAAAAAAATTAAACCACAGTTTGATTTAAAAAACCCGCAAACCTATAAATCAAAGTCGACATTTTTATATAGAGAAATTCGAAAACAAATCCTTGAACTTGTGTTTTTTTAGTGCCATTCCTGTACCTAAATTGAAAAAACCTTAGACATTAAAAGTCTAATAATTTTGGCACGATTCAAAATACAAATAGTAGGTACTTATTTCTATTCGATTTTTAAAACAAATTAATGCAAATAACACATGTTGTTACAATCTCTTAACTTGTTTCTAAGAACGTAATAAGATGTCAGAACAATCAATTATTTAGTCTACTCGGCTAAAGTAAATTTATTAATTTATTTCGACAATTAAGCGATTTTACAACAAAACAATTTATTTTTAACTCCATCATTCCAGTCGAGCTATAGTCAGGTAAAAATTCGGTCAATATTCAGGTAAATTACTAAACGTCCGCCTGATAAAAAGAAAAATCCACCTTTTAAATTTATCGAGTTCGAAAACCGAATTAGCAGAAATTTATAGGACAGTTTGCGACAAAAATAAAAAAATCAGTACATTGATTAAGTATTAGTTTCTGAGATTTCGGAGACTCGAAAATCCCCGTTGAAAAACAACCTATAATTTATCTCAAAGTATCCGTTTAGTTTTAATTAATACTTTCTTATCAAGGTTTCCTACAGGTAGGCACATTGGTTAAATTTACAAGCATATTATATTAAATCTTCATAGAAGTTTTAGTAGTAAAAATCTTGTTGAAAAGTACAATAGAGAAGAGTGTGTAGAAATCAAATATATTATTGTAAAAGATAAAGCAATTAAAACTTTTATCGATAATGATGAATATTAGTGTGAACTAGAAACTAGAACTAGTCCTAGTGAACTAGAAACATCTTGGTGCAAAATGTATAGGTACAGAAAAATCGCACTTGAATTGCATTAGTGAAGTAAAAAAAATGAAACTGTTATAGAATATTAATAATATCTTAACTAGAAGCTTTAATAAGAATAATAAATAAATTAAGTTATAAACAATATTTTTCTTATTTAACACAAGCCTGTATAAAATTTTTCCATCGATGGAAGTTTACGAATCCTGCAACCCGTTGTCTCCCCGGCACTTCTTCGTTTATAAAGACATAGTCTCGTTTTTAATGGTAGAAAGTGCCCGCAGTACTGCCAGTACGTTCGGCGACTCCACATCGAAACCGCCCGTAATCCGCAGTAGTACTGCGTGCAGTTTTCAACACGATTCGAAGAAAGTGCTCCGACATGTGCCTGCTTCCTGCTGTTTCCGTTGTTGTCGCGTTAGCCGTTTGTCGAATCGGTGTTACTGCTGAGGAGGATCAATTGCAGGGTAAATATATTAATTTTGAATTTAAAAGGATTGAATATATTTTATTTCCGATTTAATAATGAAATAGATCAATTAGGTATAGTTGATAAAATCGTTCCTGAGAATTTGGTTTGTTAAATGGGTATTGATTGAGTGAGGATTTGATTAGAATTTTCATATTTTGTGCATTAAAATAGCAATTTATTTATTAGAAACTAAATGAAACAATCTTGGAAGGTAAGAGGGTCAAGGAAGCTACCAAAACAATAGTTTATGGTACTATAATTTCTTTACAAATCATTGTAGAAATCGCCATATACTTATAAACAATGAAATTGGTTTAACAACAGTAATTATAACTTTTCTGGTTTATTTATTAGTTAATAATATTCCAGATCGTTTTAAAACCCATTACTCCCATCACTATAATTTATAGCTCCGACTTTATTCGTATAAAACACTTTCCTTTCATTATATAATTAAAATTTAATTATGCGTGGATCCTCACTCCATATATCAGAATAATTACGAACAAATAATTCGGACTACTTATCTGCAAATTAATTGTTATTATAAATAAAAACCTTATAAATTTATTTTATCATAAAAATTAGATGAAAAATCATAACATAATCGATGACTAAAACTCGTGTTATTTTCTAACGAAATAGGCATAAACAATTTGATTCAGAATGAACCAGATGGTAGGTGTTGATTGTATTTTTACCCGCACACCCACATTTATTATTCAATTTCGTATTTGACGCAACCTTACAAAAAAAACGATCTAATTTGCGGTGACGCCATTCAACTGGAGCGAAGAAATTGTTGATATAGTGTCGAATTATTGTTGGTTTTTATGTTCATTCCGCGGTTTAATCCACCAGGCAGGATTTTTATTGGCAAATAGATGTTAAAAAAATGCGAATTCTTGCTACATTTTTTGCGTCACTCCTTTAAATCCTAGAATTTCATGTAGTTTTGAGTTCTCTTAACTTTAACCCATAACTGCTATAAAGTTCAAACTAAGTTTATTCCTAACTATATGCATGATGGTAGGTATAATGGTTCATTGTCATTGCACTTACTGAATGATGTATTGTAGTAGTAACATTTATAGCCACTTAATGTCTAACTGTAAATTCAACCAGGTTTGAGCGATTTATACGAGCATTTACGGAAAATATATCAATCATCCACTGAATCTTATAAAATTTTCATAATTCACGAAAACGAAATTACGCAATGATTTATAAAATAAATAATCGCAATTTCCTTGTACTAGAGTTGCACGAACCGCTGCTTATCAGAAACGATGCGGGTCGTGTGTCGTGTACATTTTATTAAACATTATATAAGGTTTATTAATTTATTTAAAATCCGCTAAATTCCATTTCTTTCCGAGTAAAAGTAACGAAATTTGCATACATTTGGCGGCTCCATTTTCATTATTAATTGCTTAAAGCACAATGTTAAATTGTGATTGAGAATTTTAGGTGGATAGGTAGCAGAAATTTTCAGTAAACTCGACGCATCTCGGTTATTTTGTAAGTCTAATTTCCTGCGATACAAGCACGTACTTATTGAACTTTCATTAATTACGCAACGAGCGTTTTTTAAAGGCCTACGTACATTCTTTTTGGTACACAACAAAGGGATCTGACATGTGAAAGTGATACTTGAAAGGCCGTTGTTATAGTAATGTCGATAAATTTATTCGAATTTATGATTATTCTAAGTCTTGTGTACCGGTAAATGTTGTTATAAGTATGTTAAGTATAAGTTAAAAATTATAACAAAGAAACATAACTTGATTTTATGGAATTAAAGATTTAAGTCTGGTGTATTAATATATTTTTTTGGTTTTTTTATTATCGCAATTTTGGCCAATAATTAATTCATCGAATAGAAAAACATATTTACAACAATTAATCGATTTATCGAAAATATTTACCTAATCGTACAACAAAAGATATTTGTATTATTGTTAATTCTCCGCTACTCCACAAACAATTAGCAATAACAAATAACAATTCAACGATGGATAAATAATAATTGATGAGCGTTAAAAAAAAATCCAAATCGTGCAGGGTCACAGTCGAAGGAGTAGAAATTAAAAGTGAAGCAATGAAAAAGAAGTAGCGCATAAAATAGCATTAGCTCTGCAATTGTAATTATTTCGAATGCGTACGGAAAAAAAAACGATACGATTACCATCTTCGTTTTGTTTAGATTTCTAAATCGAACTGCACATTATTATTAATTAACCGGTAAAAGAACGAGATGTAACTAGTAATTAATCGCTATGCAAATTCATCGGTTGATTGAAGGACTCGTTCTTGCAGCAAAAAAAACCGACCTGTTAATTACCAATGCATTTAAAAACCTACCTTTCCTTGAAAAACAGTTACTAGTCATTGAAATTAGAACAGCAACTTCGAAGACGTTCTGCCCGGCTTTCCCCTACTCGCAAATCGCGCTCGTCTCATCTGAAAGTAAAATCCGACCAGATGAAAAAAGAGATTACAATAACCGACTGTTATTCTACAAAATTTTACATTCCGCATTGCCGCGTCGTGTCACTTTCTCTCGATATCATATTCACCGACTACAGGCTTGTGCAAGCCTTGTAGAGAATATTTTGCGCGCGTATGCGAGTTTCATTCAACACGAAAACCGCTCATCGAACGTGTTAGATAATCCGATGACCATAAATTATCGTCCGGGTCGCCGGATGCGTAAAATGTTCGCCGAAGAATAGAGCAGAATGTTCAATCAAATGTTAAATTCATAAAGAAAAAAATTGGTAATGGATTCAATAGAAAACCAAGAAGTTGGTGAACGATTATAATCTCTTTGACCTATGCACTGGACTGCTCATTTTGTATTCTTTCACGTTTTTAGTAGTATATTTATCAAGATAGGAAATAAAAATATACAGTTACTGCCACTTGCGGTGGATAAAGAAGATTAATTCTGCGAACGAAACCTAAAAAAAAACCAAGTTCAATGTACCGAATAGAACTAATACTTCGAATGAACGCCATCAATCATCCGAAGAGTTAAAGCACTCGAATTCGAATGAAGTTTATTCGAGTTCATCGGAATTTTAATTTTGTTAACAAAAAAAAAACCTATACCGGTATATTTGAGTCCAGCGGAAATGTAATAGCAGCAATGTCAAAATCTTCTGAGCTGAACTTCTACCGCGATTTTGTCATTCGACCAGTTCACCTTTTACTTTCTTTTCTACATTATAACTTACCGTTGCGACGTTGCCAGCTCTCGATGATTTACGAATTTCTCGGGTAATTTTTTCCAGCGAACCCCGTCGATTCGAGCGACCAGCGTCAGGCCAGCCAGAACTACTACTATCCGACCTATCGCAATCAACCCTTGGGGCATTCGAGACCTTACTACTCGCAATTCGCCCAGCAGGAAGGCGCTTACAGCCAACGACCCTACCTAAACAACTACGATCAATCAGCTAGGTAAGTTAATTCAGCAAGTGTAATATCTCGCAATCTGGATATACATTTCGTCGTCGGTCCGTTCTAATCGGCGTATTAGCTGAACGATTTTAATGAGCCGGGTGATTTTCTGCGACAGATTCAGCGGTTACAAGGACGTCAATCCTTACAAGACCGAGCAATCGAGCGGGGCGCTGGGCTCGGGAAATTTCGGCGTCATACCCGGCGGAACGTTCTACGGAGACAACGACGAGAACACCAATTTCGCCGATTACAATTCCTACTATCGCAACGGCCACGGAAGGCCCCAATACTACTTCGCCGCCTCGAATCCCAAGCCCTACACGCAGGAGCAGTTCGCCGATTTCCGCGACTTCGCCGACATCAACACGCCCCAGTACTCGCACTACGTCGTGGTGTACGCCCCGAAGAAGAAGAACGCTGAGGAAGATGCCGAAGAAGCTAACACCAACGCTAACACCAACAAACCGGTACCCAGGAATATCATCGAGAGCCTGACTCTGTTGGACTCGCAAACGCCATCGACTGTGGAGAAGAAACTGTCGAAATCGAAGCGAAAACTCGCTCAGTTACAGCCCGAGAAGAAGCACCTGCAGAAGAAGCGAAGCAGAGACTTCGACGAGCCGCTGCTGGCGCTTAGCTAATTTCGAATTTGTGGTTTCGCTGCGATTTTCCGCGGGATTTTTGTACATAGTTTCTTCGCATCGAATGTTCGTTTTTAAAGCAACCGTCTGTACGAAGGTGCAGCCTCTCCAATATACCGGAATAATTGAACGGGAGGGAGTATATTATTTGACGTACAGTGACTTTGGACCTACCTCGTAGATGCGATTGGTCGAACATGAATTAATAAGTTTAAATTCGAATAAAATCGTTTAAATAAAATGCGTTTTTATAAAACGACTCTTCGTGTTAGATAATTAAGTGGGTAATAAACTAACGAGTCGCAGGAAGTGCAATTGCTGCAATAGATGTTCCAGATAAATTATTACAACAATTCGAGAATTGACCCGTTATAGCAGGAAAGTTTGTATCTCTAACGAATCGGAACGAGTTTCCTGCGAAATTTACGTACTGCTTGAAAATTCCTGCTGGCTTCAACGGGATTTCTACTAGTCGCTAGATGGAGCTAGCTATTTTAAATGCGATTATTTGCAGTTATGATTTTAACAGTAAATATTTTCTTTATTCAGTTAAGTAGTGCACACGTGAATAGTAATAGCGCAATTATTTTTATACGAGAGAAAACAATTTTAGTGGCTTCTTATAAAGACATCTACGAAAAGTGAGTATAATTTCGAATGGGTACACCGGAAAAATCCGGGTAATATTTAACCGACCGGTCGCGTAATCCTCCGTCATCGGGCGATATCCGGAGACGCGGTCGCTCCCGCCCCCGCCCCCCGTTTCCCGCCGCCCCCCTTTACTTCGTCGACTTCGGCGAAAAGTGATCTAGTGCACTCTGGCTCTCATAACTTCATCCGACCCGATCATGGCCCACCAGGGACCCTATGACAAATGTATCCTTCCGCCAACTTCAAATTAGTTCCGTGGTCCGTGCGTAAGTCCTGACGTGATAACAGTACGGGCGATGTGCCCCGAAAATATGAAATATCCTCGTGACAATAAATCTCTATTATAGACGATCAGAAGAAGTTAAATACTTTGATTGGAAGATTGTAATCGGGACGCTTATTCTATCCCAAATTAAAGTTAACAGGGTGATTAAGATAGTCCTGAGTTAGTTAGTATCTTTAGCAGTAACACTTGGTGATAACAAATCAAAATAAACTGGCGTACTTATAAGTAATGTGTTAACGTGGAAAGGATTGTGGAATTTTCCGGGTGATCTCCCGGAGCACCGGGAAGGTGCAAACAGGAGTCAGTAGCCATTGGGTACGATAGAATCGAGTCCAGGAAACCGTATTGAACACGGGATCCGACAAATCTGCTTTTTAAATCGAGCCTCCGTTCGCCCGAAGCGGAAGAAAATCGCCCGGAAAATTCGACAATATTGGAAGCAAATGGAATATCGCTATCGAGAAAATTGAAGGATAAGCGATATGGAATGCGTAGGTATTTCGATTGGAATTATTACCTACAACAAATCCAATTTCTTATTGTTAATTTAAAAAATAAAACAAATTATCGTGTATTTTTTCTTCGGTTACTATCGAAGAAGAGATGATTTTGGCGAGGCAAAGAGAGCGACCGAGATGATTTTTGCTGGGTCGAGACCCATGGGACGCCGCATATCGACCCCCTTGCGCCCCCTTACGATTCGGACCCCTTTTCCCCTTTCTCCCTAGACCCTTTTGCCGCATCTCGACCAGCGGCGGATGAAGGAATTAATACTTTCCAATGGAACGAATGTCTTTATTACAATCCGGAATCGGTGGATGGAAAAATCGACTCGATCAATTAAAATTTTCAAAAAAGTATCACTCAATTTTACGGCGTGTAAACGAGGTATAAGAACGGAGAAAATAAAGTGAGCGAAGAGAGCAAAAAAAAACGTGTAGAAACCTTTTTGACCTAAATCGAGTCGGATTTTCCGGAACAATGATGAATATGAAATGCAAACAAGCGTCCCGGAGTATATAAAACTGATTTGAATATCTTTGTTAAACACGGGGGGCCTCCGCTCGCTCGATTTAGTTTTCCGCGAGGAAAGCCATAAAGCTATAAAACGCGATTTATAAGTTTATTGCCGGTTGTCTCTCATTTGGGAGACGGCTGGGAAATTTAAGATTCCGTAACTGAAGGTGAACGAGACGGGAGGAAAATACCGCGAAAAAAAAAAAACGAAAAAATTAATTCGCTTTTAAGTATTTTTTTATAAAAAATAATCCCGAAACGTGACATAAAAGTATTAAATTTTCCAGCTCATTTTTTTTAAGAAAATAGGACACACTAAAAATTTCTAACAGCACTATTAACGTATCGTTTTCTAAAAAAAAAACCTTGATCTATTTGAAACGTACAGGAAATTGTTTGATCATTAATACCAAATTTGTACTAATAATCTTAGGTTCAAATAGCAATATAACTAATTAGTTCCTTTGTTTTCGCTTTCGATAAATAATTATCACCTTTTAATCGCTCGTTAACCGCTGAACTAACCTACATTATCAACCTAACACGTTCTGTTTCACGAATTAGAAAATTAGATACACCGCAGCCATGTTACTGGCAGCAGGAATTATCGCCAGTTGCTTCGTTTTCTGTCACGCTGCTACGCAATCAGGTAATTAATCGAAATTATCAATTAAAACAACAAATTAAACGCCTAAAATTTATTTTATAAGGATGCACGTTGACAATTCAAAGAAACGACGCCGAAAAGTACGTTCCTGTATTGCTAAATAACAGATCGCACGTTTACAATCTCACAGTACCGGAACAAGGAGAAATTCGCTTGAGACGAGGCCAAGGCATCACGTTTTTGTGTCCGGAGAAAAACTATTTAGTACCCAGTAAGTACGAATAAAACTCCTCAAAACGCTTTAAAAAAATCCCCAATTTTCAGCTCATTCGAACTCAACTTACGCCACATGCCTACACGGAACGAAGCTGAGCATATCCAGAACAGAGTACGACTTTTCGGAGATCCTCTGCCACAAACCGATAAGAGGAGAAATCCAAAAAACCCGCGAGAGTTGCGGCAACGGACGCGGTACCATCACCAACATCGGTTACACAGTCACTCCCAGGTACTTCAAGACGCTCATCAAAGTGTGCTACGACGAAGCTCGAGGAGCTAACTTGTATTCCCAGCACATCATACACGGAGAAGAAGTCGCCTGTAAGTACCTACATCATTACACTATCGATTAAATTAGATTTGAAATGGTGTTGTAGACACCTCGAAGTTTAGAGAACGTCCAGGATTTAGCACCGCCGGTCTACCGAAAGGAGTATCGGCGAATGTAGCCTACAAACGAGCCTATCAAAAATCCACGTTCAGCAGCCTACTAGGCAGTTCAGGATTAGCCGAGCGTTATATAAATAAAAAATCCTTTTTATCGCGAGGACACTTAGCACCCGACGCGGATTTCTTATTCGCCAGCTCGCAACTCACGTCGTACTTCTACATCAACACTTGCCCGCAATGGTACATATACTAATTTAACTGTAGTACTAAATCTAATGGAGTGATTAATTTTATTGCAGGCAAAGCATCAACGGTGGTAATTGGGTGAAGGTGGAAAGCTCTGTGAGAGAAGCTGCGAGTAAATACGGGCGCAGATTCACCATCATCACCGGTACTCACGGTGTCCTGGAGTTGCCCGATTCGAGCGGGCGCCCCGTTGAAGTCTACCTGGTATCGAGGAGGAAATTGCCAGTACCGAAGTTCGTTTGGAAGATTATCTACGATGATTTTAGCGGAAAAGCGATCGCTATTGTTAGTTTGAATAATCCGTTTGTTGATAGTTATGAAGATGCGGTTTTGTGCAATGATATTTGCGATAGATTCGGATGGGGGGCGAAAAGTTTCGGCGATTTTTCTAGAGGGTTAATTTATTGTTGCGATGTTAATGAATTTAGGGAAGTTGTTGATAGTGTTCCTGATATTGTAGTGAATGGGATTTTACGGAGTCCTTAAGATTTGTTATTAGTGAGGCTCGGGAAATGTGTAAAATGCATATAAAGTGCATATAAGAGTAAGCTTGTTTTAAATTGTGTTTTGCTTAAAAAATCTAAATGTCTCGATAATTAGGGATTTCTCGATATTATTTATTTTTCAAAAAATGTAGAAAATTTCGTTGTTCATGAAAAAATGACATGAAAACGGTTTTTTTATTTCGATTACTTTTCGAGATAATTGGATTTTTTGGAGAGTCGCGCTAGAAAATTTGTAACAAAAAAACTCGAAATATCTCGAAAACTAATCGTTTTTTTTTTAAATTCTTATTTTTCCAAAATTGTAGAAATTAGAATTTTCTACTAAATAAAGTAATATAACTGATTTTTTTGTACCTTCTGTAGTGTATCAGATTAAAAATATATACAAAATTTTTATTTAATTTTAAAGCAAATGAGGGCATATTAGAATGTTTATTTAAATATGCATATTTAAGACCATATTTAAGAGCATATCACCCCGAGCTTTACTTATTAGTAAATTAATTTGCTCGAATAAAAATATCGATTACATATTAATTTGCACACATATTTGAATGAATTTAAGTGCATATCATCCCGAGCTTTACTTCTTATTGTTAGTAAATTAATTTGCTCGAATAAAAATATCGATTACATATTAATTTGCACACATATTTCAATGAATTTAAGTGCATATCATCCCGAGCTTTACTTCTTATTGTTAGTAAATTAATTAGCTCGCACAAAAATACAACCGTAAGGTCCACTATCGAATTTAATATTTCCGTCGCCGTCGCTCGCAAATCATCCCTCGCCACCCTTGAGTAATTCTACCCGGACTTGCGGAATAATATGCAAACACTAATAAATATACATATAAATTAGAGCGGGCGCGACGGGCGTGCGTCTCTATATGAATGTTAAAATAAGTTCGGAAATTGTCAACGACGCAAGTTGGGGCCCGAGGGAGCGGCCCCCCCGGGGGGCCGTCGGGCGGCCCTCCGGCTAATTCCGCTGCACCGAGCAATAGAGGCCCGGAAGAGATCTAATTCATTAACGCGGCCGTAAAAAATAATTTGGCGCGGAGAGGACGAGCCCGTGAATTTTTTATTAAATTGTTTTCGCCCAAGATTGGGGGCCGGCTCGTCGTTTAAAAAGTTCTCGGGGAGCCGTTTCGACGACAGATTAAAGAGTTTAAACGATGTCGCCGAGTTAAGGAAGGTGCCCGTTTTGATTTAAAATTTACTAGTAAATTACCTGATAATCTAATTTGGTACCTATCTCTTAAAACTTTTAGATTAATTTTTTTTGGGATTTTTTGCTTACATAATGATTGGGTTCGATGAATTTCAACAGCTCGTATAATACGGTGGAAATTAATGGTGATAACTGGTTCGTCCCCTAGTCGAAATTAAACTGTTCGTTGAACCGGCATTCTCGGTTCGATTGTCGAATCGGAGAAAAATTAACCGAAACTCCTTTGTCAATAGTTATTGAAATATTCGCGAGAAGGGGGCGCGCTCGTTCGCCCCGAATAAGCGATATCTCATCGAGCTCTCGCTTTTTCCTAATTCTTTGGTCCAGTAATCGCATTGTGCCTTTCGAACGAAATGTTTGCCCACTGTTTATTTACATCTTCCGCTTCGTTTCGTTTTAATCTTTCCATTGTCGTGCAAACAGGCCTAAACAAACACTTGTTCGATAATAATTCTCTTTACCGAACCGCCTTCTAATTATTTGCCGAAGATCGCTTTCCTCTGGGTTGTATATTTTTTTTATTCCTCCTTCTCCTTCTCCCGTCGAATTAATAAATCGCCTTGAGATTCGAAATTTCGATTTTCTTCTATACAGGAAAAAAAGTTGGAAGTGGAAATTTTCCGGCGGTGAGGTCAAGCGAAATGCGACTGGTTTTCGAAACGTGCATTGACATGCAAATATGCGGTCTGCACAAACAGAATTTCGACCTTCGGGGGCCGCCCCGAATTGATTTTGCGACCTCAAAGGGCCTTCACTTTTTGTAGCTTAAAAAAACGCAAATTTCTAGAAATCTTTCCATCTCCTCGTGCACGTCGTATATCTTGTACTATTTTACATACATATAAACTCATCGGTGTTTCGCCCTTAATCCAATTCAACCTTCTTCGGAATCGAATGTAGCCCTTTATGTTAACAGTATGGGGGCGCGCGCGAGCGGGCCCGGTCGCATTTCGGGCGACCGAATTGCTAAAAACTCCAGCGGATCTCCGGAGACTCCGGGAGATGCTCCAGGTGAACATCTCGCGGGCACCATGACTCTTCTCTCCTCCGTTCCATTCCCGTTCTCTGTTAATCTAACATTACGGTACAATGGGAAACGTGACCGTATCTCTTCGGGGTTTGATGTTTATTTAAACATCAATTTTAATGGGGGTTACTCTCTCGAGTTTTTTTTTTCTCTCGACTTGTTTATATTCTTTTTATCTCCCGGACGCATCTTGTGAAAGAAATTAAGGTGATGTATTGGAGGATAGATTCTTTTGCTGAGACATTTGTTTTGTATCAGTTCTAGACCTCGCGATTTTAAGGTAGATGAAATTGTTGATGAAGAAAAGGAGGATATATTGGATGTATATCGAGGTGTTTATTTGCGTTAACGACGAGGATAAATTTAATGGGGGTTACTCTCTCGAGTTTTTTTTCTTTCGACTTGTTTATATTCTTCTTATCTCCCGGACGCATCTTGTGAAAGAAATTAAGGTAATGTATTGGAGGATAGATTCTTTTGCTGAGACATTTGTTTTGTATCAGTTCTAGACCTCGCGATTTTAAGGTAGATGAAATTGTTGATGAAGAAAAGGAGGATATATTGGATGTATATCGAGGTGTTTATTTGCGTTAACGACGAGGATAAATTTAAATGGAGGGCGGCAAAAAAGAAAGGTCTTGAAAAGGCGGTGCGTGCCAAATGGGATAATTTCACCCTGGGGTGAAATCGTCCCAAACACGGCGTACATCTTGATAGCCGAATCGTTACTTCACTCTGTCAATTCCGGCCGTTCCTAACACGATTTTGATTCGATCCCGTCGAATTCCGATTGCGATTACGTAGAAATAGAGTACTAGAGTAGAAAAAAATTACGCGCTAAACGAATTCCCGACGTGTGCGGTATATCTGAAAGGGAATATTTAGGGAATCTCTCCGGGAGATAAACCAGAGTTACGAACGGTGCATAAAAGCGAACCGCGAAATAAAACACTTTTACATTCAAAAAAGCAACATCTAGTAGGAAACAATCAAACGGAGAACTTTTCCGAAGCCGTTTCCACCCTTCGCCCCATAACTATACTTTAAAAGACAACCCCCTGGGGGACCAGACGAGCCGGGCGCGGCTCTCTAAATATTTCATGTGTGCGGACTCGCGTAAGGTAATTTTTCGGGAATTCTCACCGACAGTCGTCTCAAACAGTGTTTATAGTCAGTAGCCCGCAATATCAATAACATCCAAAATAAATGCCTTTTCTATTTGATTTGGTCGTTTTTATTACGGCAGGGAAGCCGAGCCGGTTGCCGAATTGATAAAATCAAATGAAATATTCATCCGCTCGGCGGTTAATATCACTCCTGCTACTGTTCGGACCTCTCTACCACTTTCGTAAACTACTCTCATTCGTTAATATATTATATTTTTATACCAACATCTAATTCCAATATAACCAAATTAAAATGCATATGCTAAGGCTAAGAATAACTAAATCTAGATCCTGGATTTTGAGCACAAAAGGTTCTATAGATCCACATGTTAGATCCAGGTTCTAAATCAATATTCTAGATCAATCTTCGATGCTGGTGCTAGTTCTATGTGCTAAATTCAGGTCCTAGATCTATGTAGGGTAGGGAGGCAAGTATTAGAAAAAGCTAAATTCTTCACAATAATCCTACTAATCCTACTAATACTCGAGTCTAAATGAAAACATTGGAAGTAGTAATTGGTTTAAATCTCTATTATAGGGCGCAATAGGGCGGACTCATTCGTCATCGGAAGCGGTTTTGATGCAGTCGCCAATTGGGCATCGTTAAGCGGGATTATCGTCGCTATTAATTGCCCGAGTGATAGGTGGCACCGTCGAGGCATATACCATAAACTACGTTTTGACCCCCTTAACGAGCAATGCATAATTCCGGATCGTCATAAAAACGTCCGGAAATATTACAATCGATTCATTATGTGTTCTGGTTTGTTTTTTTTTTCGAATGTGGGTTCGAATGTGGGTTTGGAGTGGAGTGGTGACTTGAAAATGGGTTGGGGTAGTATCTATATATACCCCATACCTTATTTCACAAATTTAATATTTTTGTTATTAAGTATATAAAGTATCTACCACACAATTGATTACCAACAATTTTCCTATATAGGACAGGACAGTTCTTATGTATAGGAAAATTATTTATCGGATTAGTTCCTAATAGAAAAATAATTCGATTTCTGCACCCCTTATTTCTAAACGAACCGACGGCGATCGCGTTTTCCGCGCCATTTCGCGACGAATCGAATCCCATCGATATTCGGCGAGCATTTCGCGAAATTTTCCCAAAATCGCGCTTTAATAATTCAACGGGGGCGCCCCTTAAAACCGATCCTAACGAACTCATTTCGCTCCTTGGCGAGCGATGAATTGATAATGAACATTAATGGACGAGTTAACTGACTGGAGCTGTATCAAATTCATTAATTGACCTCGGTCCTGATAACAAACTTCGGAGTTAGCCGGGGCCTAACTTAATTAAATATCTTTGAATTCTAACTACTTAAGGGCCGCCGGACGCTCGGCGTAGTTTACTGGCGTTTCGTTAATAATTAACGAACGGTCCGTGGAATATCCATCACAAGTATTTTAGTGGAGAATTGAAGTACTAAAATTGCGAAATCGTCTTCGGCTAATTACAAATTCTCTTCGCGTAAGCAATTCTCAGCAAGCCGAGAAATGTGAAACATTCGAAATTCCCTGTCACTCACTGGCCGACGTCGCCGTCGCGACGTGACTCCCGGAACTCGCGTCAATGGCAATAACGTCGGAAATTATCATTTTCTTGTTGTTCGGACGTCTCGGGAAATAAAAAAAACCCATTGTCGCGAGAAGAGACGGAATATATTTATTTTCCCCGCACGTTAATCGACCACGTAAAAACACTCCTCTTGCTGGAGTAATTATTTCTGCAACCAAAGAAATTGTTATTCTCTATACATAGCGAAATATATCGGAGATTGTGACTGA